TATATATATATATATATCTGCCATGTGCTGAAGGATAGAGAGAGACTGGCTCAGCTCAGAACCAGCCACCAGCCTCATTGCCTGAAGCTAGCCACGGAGCTGAATCACAGCCACATTCCTTCTGTGCCTATTGCACACAGGAGAGAGAGGGAGAGAGAAGTCTTAGACTGGCAGCCATAATGGACTATCACTCCAACTCCTGGCTCATTCCTCAAAAGCTCCATGTTGGATCATTTAGCCTTGACAGTATTTTTTTTTCCAGACAGTAAAAAACCCACAAGTTACTTATAATTAGATGTGTTTGCACCCTGCAGACAACAGTTATGCATACGAAGAGTTTGGTCAAGTTGTCAGCAATAACACAGCTAGTAAAAAAAAAAAAGACCATTGTTTGCAGTCTTGATACACAGTCATATCCACTTATTTTACACTGATTTTTATAGGATTTCATGTTTGCTTATATGTTTTAAAATACATGGTAAAAACAGTTCTACTGGGCCATAGAATTAAACAGATAGATCATGCTGTCCTTCATCCAAGTGAAAACAAGACTCAAGTGGTTACTTCTGAACAGTGAACTGCAGTTCAGGGTATTTCCCTGCTCAAGTATCAGAAGTTAAGAGTTACAGCTAAAAGGTTGTTTCTGCAAAAGTGTTCAAGTCAAGTCTGTCCCACTGGAGAAAAGGCAAACTGAAGGTTTGTTTCATTTACTGGAAAGTTCCTTTTCCAAATTAAAATACTTGTTCTACAAGTCACATCCTAGAACCATTTCAAGAGTTTTTGGGTTTTTCCTTTTCCAATCTGCCACTGTTCCTTTTTTTTCGAGGAACTGCTTCTTTCACAATGCCTCGGACTCTAGATGTGCCAGTGTTAAATACCCCAGGTTTCAGTCTCAGGCTAAATGTTAGGAAGACCAATGGCTCTGCTGTCAAACAGAAGTGACAGTCCTCACTTTGGCAGACAAAGCTTGCTTAAACCTTCTCTTCAGATCCTGCATGTTGGGCGATTTTGGCCGTGGAATAAGAGAGGTTCTCCTCCTCTCAGGGGTGCTGGTTGTTTGTTGTTTACTGACTTCTTTACAGAGGAGATGGAAGGCATTGAAGACATCATTATAATTTTCACTGACAGATACTTCATAGAAAGTACAGCCCAGCATGTTGGCCAGCTGAAGCCCATGCTGAGGCTCCACCTCTTTGATATGCAAGAGATCAGCTTTGTTTGCTACAATGACAACAGGGACTGCGTTTCCTGGGTGCAACTGTCGAACGTGATGGTAAAGGTGACTGAGTAGTTCATAGCTCTTATAGTCTGTGATGGAGAAGACAATCACCAGGGCATCTGCCCAGCGAATGCATCTGTTCAGCTGCTCATTCCAATCCAGACTGTGTTCATGGATCTGAAAAAACGAATGGTCTCAAATTAGATAGCTGAAGTCATAAAAGATTAAAGGAACCTGTCTTTAAGCGTCTGTAAAGCCAAATAGCATTTTACAGCTTCAGACATATATTTTTGCATTTCACATTGTAAGTACAAACTTAATCTGAGCATGGCAAATAAATGCTTATGTTGATTCAGCTGCAAAAAGCTGGAATTTAACACTGGAGTTTTCTATACTCAAATGGAAAATTGACCTGAGTAGTTCTGCATGCAGAGAAAGACTTTGTAGTTCCACAGAATGGGAAATTAACTGGCTAGACAGTAAGTCTGGGGAAGCAAAGATATGAGCTGGAAGCATTTAGACCTGGAGTGTTGCCCAGTTCAAAAAGGCAACAATCCAGCATTACTCAGGTCCATACATTCAAAACTTTAACTTGTGACACACTAATGAGCACAGCCAGAACATACCAGACTTCACTTTCTACCATGCACATTTATGAAGCTTGCTGGGCAGTGGTTATGACATTTTCTTCCACATGTGCCTTCTTCGTACAGATTTGTTTCTGGTTTTGTGTCTAATGCTCCCAATATACAGGAACAAGACACTTAATTCAGCCACTCATAAGTAATGGGCCTCTAATGTAAAAATGATTCATCAAAACCATGATTTTTCTTTTACTATCAGCATACTACAGGCACAAACCACATTAGGCTTTACTGGCTATAAAAGAAGTTATCACCTCTGGCACCAAGAATGCCAAACTCTGAAATGGATTGTAAAAAAGATGCTGCACACAGAGGGGGACACACACACAAATTTAGACTTGCTTTGGTGAACTGCATGGCTGTGACTCACTCACCTGAACTCCTGGAGTATCTTGCACTTGAATAGCCAACATCTCTCCATCTATCTGGATGTGCCTGCTGTAGAGATTACCTGACAAGAACACCAACAGGTTCACAAGTACAGCCATCGCTCTACAGACAAATGTTGCTTCTGCTGCCCGTTAGTTGTGCAAGAACAGTTGTAACACTATGTATGAACTGAGGGACCAGTGTCATAAGTTTTTGGTGTGTAACAGCCCATAAATTTATTACTTTACTAGAGGCCTGGGATTTAATCTTGCATTACCACGTTTTGAAGCTTGGCATTTATTACTGGGCAACTTGGAACTTAATCACTTCTTAAAGACTGTCTTAGCTTAGATGATAAAGGTACATGTGCAAAATAACCAGCTATTATAGAAAGAAAGTTTGTCATTCAGCATTTCTGTACTTTAACAAGCCATTTTCTAAAAACCTCTCTGCTGGCTAACTCTATTTGTTGATTTTTTTATTTGGCTTTTTCCAAGTCATTTCCACAGCAGAAGGCTGTATATTTTAATTCACATTCGTTTAGACTTCCCCCATCCCACACTCAAGCAAGCACATACCATCACCTCTCTGCTTTCCCTGTTAAGCTGGCACTGCCTAGATCATTTAGCTGTGGGCACTCAGTTTGCAAAGGATAATATAATCATTAGGTGTACAGAACATTTTCTTGTTTTAGCTAAAGGGCTCCTTCAAAGAGGGGCATTTTCACCATCTAC